TCCAAGGACAGGGGACGAGGGGTGAGGAACCTTCAGTTGTCAGGGTCCAGCTCTGAGGTCAACCATCAGTAATGTCCTTTCAGTGACCTCTTCCAACAACATCTTGTTGGCTGTGGATCCCTTAGAAGATTTGGTTGCATAACATTTCTTAGATTCTTTGGAAAATGAGGGCCAGCACTATAAATACTCTCAAGCGGTTGTGATACCATGGTCATTACGGAGTAAACAACTTGTATACCTTGAGGAGGGAAAGGTGACATAACCATAATTGCCAGTTATATAAAGTTAATAATGTAAGAGATAACGTTGTTAATAATTGTTTTCGTTTTTCATTTGGCTCAAGAGACTTTGTAATTGCTTGTAGAAGCATTTTTATGAAGCCTGCTTTAAAATTCTTGTCAGATAATTCTAATACAGATTACTCTCAGTGTTGGTGGCTGACGATTGTCTTTACTCATTTAAGTTGTGATTTTCCTGGTTCTTGGTATGATGAATGGTTTTTTTAATGTACCCTGGCCATTTTGTATATTATTTTATGAGACTTTGGATCCTATTTAATCTCTTTTTCTTTTTCTGGTAGGTAGTCTCCCTGTTGAGATGTAGCTTGAGGGCTGGATGGGTGTATATGTCTAGCTTCCTGATGGGCTCTGCCAGTACCAGAAGTAGAAGGATGACTCACACTGCTTCCTTGCAGGAGTGTAGGGTAGGAGTTCAGCTCCCCATTTAGTTCTACTGACACCTTCCTGGAGAAAGCAGGGCATCAGTGTGTGCTACCTCTTTTGCCTCTCTGTGATATGGTAACATTGTACACTGCTGTCACTGGGAGGTAGAGGGGTTGTGGTGGGCAGCTGGCTGACTCACCTGCTTTTGCTGCAGAGTGGGGCAGACACTGGGCATCCTTGACTTCAACGGAAGGGAAGGGGGGATAAGTGGTGAGTGCTAACTAACCACTGTGCTAACTAACCTCCCCCCACCCCATACTTCCTATCACCGCTTCATGGATGCCAGTTGGGCATAGAGGTTCAGCTCTCCATCGGGGTCCACAGACACAGGGGTGGTGCGGTAGTAGATTCACTACCCAGTAGGGATGGGGGCCTTTGCAGGTCACTGGACCTCACTGGGGAATCTGTGTGTGCCCAGTTACCGATGTGGTGGGGAGAGTAGGGTGGAGGTGGAAGATCAGCTCCCTATTCAGCCCTCCTAAAACCACGGGGGTGGGAGAAACGCAGTTTTTCTTTTCCAGTTTCCTACAGGGAGGCAGTATTACCAAAGAGGTTTTCTGCTGATAGGCTACTGTTTTCCTAGTCTTTTGGCTAGGGAAAAATAGGCTTTTCTTAGAGTTTTTTGGGGGTGTGTGTGGGGGGGTAGTTTTTGTTTTATTTTGTTTTGTTTTTGGTCTGTGCATGTTGATGGTTGGTGGTTTCTAGTTAGGCTTCTAAGGCACCGTGTCTGGAATATATGGGGGAGGGGTGGTGCCATGTGGTTCCTCAAGGCCTGAGATTCCCAGGCAGGCTGTCTTCCTCCCGCCTTTCAGAGGCTTTCAGCTTGTTTGTGCTGTTAGGTTCATGAATTCTTACCTGCGGAAGAGAGGACCTCTGCCTGTTTAAAAGGGAGAACTGGGGCTACTCCATCTTAGAACTAGAGGTCCTGGAACTATTTTTAAAGAATTCTATGACATTCAGTTTGGTCACAATATTTGCATGACCTTGCCATAGGAGTCCTGTGTGTATGTGGGGTGGGGGCAGCGCTCACAAATGCAAATTTGAATGACTGAAATTTTCCTTCTTCCAATACTCATTATATTTTGCCTTCCTTTCACACACACACACACACACACACACACACACACACGCACACACACACATTTTGCGTTGTTGTTATCAATCTATCGTGCAAGTTTACCTGCACTTTTGCCCCAACTCCAAGGTCATTCTAAATCTTGCCCTGTGATTCCATGCCTTTGGTTGGATGTGAAAGTCAAGGGTATTAACTCGTATCACCAAGTAATCCCAAGTATCTACCCGTTATTTTACATCTGTTTGAGCGTGTGGTCTGGTATTGTAATTTGTCTTAGTGGCTTTGCAGGGAGCTTTAGCTCAACTCTTGACTATTCATCTTTGTATCTGTAGCACCTGGTCTCAGCTGCTGAGACTGTAGCTGAGACTTCACAGGTTCTCAGTGACTAGTTGTTGAATACAGTGCCCATGTAAGCACATCATCCATTCACCCCTGTCCCTCCATGGAAACCTTTCTTTGCACATCCTAATTTGCAGCTTCTTAATGTATTTGAGAGTGAAAAGTATGGCCTATGTGATGTTAAATTGTCCCACTGTGTAACCTTGGGTAGTTCAATACTTCAGTTATCTCTTGCTGTGTAATAATTGCAGTGTAATAAGCTTAGTAGCTTAAAACAACAACGATTTTGCAATTTGAGTAGGGCTTGATGGAGACAGCTTATCTCTGTTCCATGTGCCATTGGCTGGAGTGTTTTGACTTACTCTGGAGAATATACTTCCAAGATGGTGCAGTCACATAACTAGCAAGTGAATGCTGACTGTTTGCAGGGAACTCAACCGAAACTGCTAACCAGAGGTCTTGATTGTTCTCCATGTGGTTACTTCAGCTTCCTTATAACATGGTGGCTGGATTTCAAGAGGTAGGAGCTGCCAGTCCTAATTAGTCCGTGGTTTGAAAGGTTCATAATATTTCTTTCTTTGCATTTTATTGGACAAATCAGTCTTAGACCCAGCATAGAGTCAAGGGGGGAGGGAATAGAAACTCTACTACTTTATAGGAGGTGTAGCTTGCATGTAGAGGGAGGAGCTGAATTATTTGGGGCCATCTTTGGAGAATAACTTTAATTCTCAGCCTTCATCTTTATGTGTAGAATGTCAAATGGACAGAAGAAAACATACATCAGAGAGTTGCTATGAAAATTTTAAGAGAAAATGTATGTGTCAAGTTTAGAATGATTACCAGCACATAGTAAGTAGTGAATACGTTTTAGTTACTTGAGCTGATTTTTCTTGATAGGAGAATGGAGAATTGCAACAAAACAGTAAGGTAGCGAAGAGCATACCTTTCCTCCATGGGAATTATGACCTCTTCTCATAAGGTCCAGTTAGACGATTTTAATATTTCCTTGACAACTTCAGTTAATGCATTCTCTTTCATCTGCTGCTTCCTTTTAAACAACTGGTAGAGATTAAAAAAAAAGAGAGAGAGACCTCAAATCAGTAGCCATCAAGTGAAAGGAATAACCCACAGTTTTGTTGTCTAATGACTTTTGGTGTCTTTGTTGGAACCCTTTTTATTTTTACACTCACTTGTGGGTATTTTTTTCTTGATATCATTTTTCATTTCCTCTACATGGCACTTTGAAAAAGTAGTTCTCTCGAGATGTAATGAAGGATACTGGAATGACAAGCCCTGGGAAGCTACTCTTGGTCCTCTCTTTGGAAGCACTCATGTGCAGATTTAATCCTTCAGAAAAGTTATATATCATCAGAGGTCATAAGCTGGATAAAATACTAAGTATAACCAGATCACTTCCAAGTCAAGTCATCTCTGCATTTTAGCAATTCCAGCAAAGTAAATTCTTGTTACTACAGGTAGGGATTAATGCGATGTGCTAATATAATTACATAAATTCATTATTTTAGCAGTTGAAATGTTATCCAGGTCAAAGTGCCTGGTGCCTTTGTACCTATCTTGATTTTATATAAAAAGAGCTATCAAGTTTGTGCTAGATTCTTTTTTTTTTTTTTAAGATTTTATTTATTTATCTGACAGATCACAAGTAGGCAGAGAGGCAGGCAGAGAGAGGAAGGGAAGCAGGCCCCCTGCCGAGCAGACAGCCCAATGTGGGGCTCTATCCGAGGACCCCGGGATGACAACCTGAGCTGAAGGCAGAGGCTTTAACCCACTGAGCCACCCAGGCGCCCCTGTGCTAGGTTCTAATAGCACTGCTAACCTCATTCTTTTGATTCTGTATGTGTCCATACCTGTAATTTTTCCAAGTGATTAAGATCACAAGTTATTCCTTCTACAGTTGACATATGTGATTATTCATCTCTTTAGTTCTTTTAACAGCCACAGTTTATTAATGATCATTTACCATGCAGTAATAAACTCTGTATCATTTAGTCCTTCCGGAATTTTCTGATCCTTGATTACAGTGTAACATATTGCCTGATTAATTGCTCATCATTGGTGTTTTCAGCTTCTGTGTACACTAGTTAAGGTTATTTCTTCCCTTTTTGGCTTTACTATTCCCTGAAGACTTTCATTGTCAACAGCCTTATTAGTTGTCTTCAACTTCTCTCACTTCCTTCTTGTATTTCCTAATAGCACAGAACATATACTGACTCCTTGCAAATGGCTACCATTTACTCTTGTTCCAGTCTAGCATAGTGGTTCTTAGATTTTCATGTGCCTTAGGAGCACCTGGAGGGCTTCTTAAAACACAGATTGCTGGATTCCTTTCCCAGAGTAGGTCTGGTGTGGCCAGAGATTTTGTTTTTCTAACAAGTTAACAAGTTCCCAGGGCTGCCCATGCTGCCTGTCCAGGACCAAGCTTTGAGAACCACTAGCATAGCAGGTTAGCATGGTGGTTATGAGCCTAGGTTCTAGGTTCAGCTGATATGGGTTCAGACCATAGCTCTGCCACTTAACTTTCCCAACCATGTGACCTTGAAAGCTAAGGTTTTACAGCTTAAACTTTAATTTCTACATTAGTAAAATCAGAAGAGGGCCAAATTCTAGACTACTTGTAAGGATGAGATGAATTAATCCATATAAAGCACTTAGTATAGCAGTAAGATGTCAATGCTCAGTAAACGTAAGTATTGGTATTTTTTTTAAGTGTGAGAATTAATGTTCAAGCTTAATTATCAAAGTTAAGAAAATGTGCCTCTTTTCACAAACTGGCCATTTTTCTTTGGCTCTTGATTTTCTATACTGCTGAGTTAGAAATGCTATTTTTTTTTTTTTTTTTTAAGATTGGCCATGTGGACAGAAAGATGCAGTAGAGAGATCATGAGATTTGGAATCAGGAAAACGCCTGGGTTCTAGTCTAGACTCTGCTATTCCTGGCTTTGTGACTCACAGCAATTTGCTTCATCTCTCCGATCCAAGTTTCCTGTAAATATCTTCTAAAGTAGTGACATAAATGGTAAGGATTGTTATATGGTTCAAATGAGCTAGAGTATTTGGTAGATTTTTTTTTTATTTTAATGTTCCATACAAGTAGTTGTTATTGTTATTTTTGTTGAGCATAAGCGTCTAGAGCAGTGTTTTATTCACTTATTCATTACTGTTGTGAGAAATCATGCTTCTGTGGAGGGACAATTATGGGGAAAAAAACTTGTCCATTAGCGTTATTTTGAGGTGGTAGAAACTCTAACCAAGAATTGCTGAACACTTGCTTAGATGTGTGGATGTGTTATTTTCTTTCCTCCCCCTCCCCCAAGATTTATTTATTTATTTATTTGGCAGAGAGAGAGAGAGAGAGAGAGAGACGCAGTGAGAGAGGGAACACAGCTGGGGGGTGGTGGAAGAGGGAAAAGCGGGTTTTCTGCTAAGCAGGGAGCCTGATGTGGGGGCTCGATACCAGGAGCCAGGGATCACCACTTGAGCTAAAGGCAGACGTTTAACAACTGAGCCACCCAGGCTCCCCTGGATGTGTTATTTTCTATTCATGATCTAATTAGATGTCCTTCTTACTGACTGAAATGCTGGCTCATCTTCCAGACTTTTTACCTGGAAGGAATTAACATCCAAATGGCCATATTTTAAAATGATGCTGAGGGAAAGAGAAACAATTATGTTATATCTGATAATGATTGGAAAAAAGCACACTTAAGAAAACTTTGTTCTCATAGTATGAGTTGCCGAGTTTTTATAGTAGATTTTATACAAAAATCAGGGACTTCTTTTTAGTTGATACTACAGGATTCTTTCAGAAGAGGAAAGAAGTTCCTTTTAATCAAAAGTCTTAAATGTATGAAGATACCAAAATGAACCACTCATGTTTTATGCTTTTGGTGCATTTTTCTCTTGAAAGAAGCAGAATGACATACAAAAAGTCACTACCTACGTCCCAAAGAAGGCTGAGTCGGAGAGCTGAGGGAGAGAGATTGTTTCTGGCTGGGGGATCAGCACCCTCCTGTTCTCAGGCCACATGCTGAGCCACAGTAAGCCAGTGGTGTGTCTGCGTATCATAAGGAGCCTGAAAAGGACTCTGTGAGCCCAATTTATTGACCTTCACAAAGGATTATATTTAAACCATCTCATATAGATGAGACTCTATCCTCCATTGGGGGAAGAAATCCTTCCTTTGAAGGAGATTCCATAACCTTCCTTATTAACTCGTTTCAGTATTTACCATCCTTTGCTTTCTGCAGAGAAACCTATTTCAGCTGCCACAGGAACATCAGGATTTATCCACTCTGGATTTGCTGAACACAGACATCTTTATGTAGCCAACCATCATCATATCTCCGGGGCCCCCATGTCACTGCTTCATCAGTTGATTACACAATTAAATAGTTCTGGGAGTCAGGATATCATCATGAGCAAGACCACTGAGAGTCAGGCAGTTCTGGATTAGAGTCTTGGCTCCTTCCCTCTCTTGTTCCTATAACCTTGGGAAAAGTTACATAAAACCTGTGAGCCTCAGTTTTCTTACCCATACAATGAGGGTTATAAACATATAACATACCTACCTCTTAGGGGTATTGTGAAGGGAGAAATGAATGTTTTAAGTCAAGCAACATGAAATCATTAATATATGACCATTTAGACCAACAAAATAGCAATTTTACATGGTTCATACTAATAAATGACTTAGCAAAAGGACCTGAATTCTAACAAAGATTTAACATTAATAACAATTTTTAGAAATAAGAGAAAAAACTTTAATATATTATCATTAACATAATACATTTAATGTTAATATAGTATATAGGTAACATATGTTATAATAACATCATCATCATCATCATCATCATTATTATTATTATTATATTATCATCATTATTGTGATGGTGTGCAGTATCCAGTCTAGGTGCTAGAGGATATTCCTGCAAACAAGCCATTATGCAATGGTGAGAACACTGATTTTTGGAGCTGTGTGTGATGGCATAAACATGTGGAAGGTAGAATGTCCAGGCCAGTCTGCAGAGATCAGGGAATGTGCCTGAAAGGCAGTAGTGTTTGAACTGGGTTTTCTAGGGTCAGTTGGAGACTTCTGGATAGACAAACTGATGGAGGAATATCAAGCAGAGGAAGGAGCATGAGCCTAACCCACAGAGGTAGGAAGGGATATGGGACCTTTGGTGGCCTGCAGTGATTCTGTGCAGCAAGAGCATAAACTTGGACTTGGGTATGGAAGGAATTGAGAGTAGAGAGGAGAAAGAAATGGCTTGAAAGAAAGGTAGTTTTTTTTTTTTTTTTTAAGATTTTTATTAGAGAGAGGGAAAGCACAGAGGGAGAATGAGAAGGAGAGGTAGAAGAAGCAGGCTCCCTGCTGAGCAGGGAGGCCCCTGTGGGACTTGATTCCAGGATCCTGGGATCATGACCTGAGGCAAAGGCAGACACTTAACTGACTGAGCCACCCAGGTGCCATAAGAAAGGTAGGTTTTACTGGGGAAGTGCCATGACTGGCTTTTTGGGTTTGGAAGGTTCTTCTGGAGGTTTTGTAAAGCATGACGGGCATGGAGCAAGTGGGGACACAGAGGGATGTGGAGCGAAGCTATTGAGAACCAATGTCAGCTGAACTCAGGGCAATAGCAGCGTACTTGAGAGCAGTTGATGGAAATGACAGATTTATGGTTTCAAAGTCCTAGTGATGGCTGGGCTCAGACAAGAGGTTGATGTACGTGGACTCATGGGTATGTGGCTTGGGCCCTGGTGGATGGTCCACTGTTCCCTGAGGTACAGGAGATTGGAGGAATGGGAGGAGGAAGCTGGGGCATGCAGACAGGGTGAGAGAGCTGAGGAAATAATGAGTTGGGTTTGGGCAACCTTGCTGTGGTCTAAGTGTTTGTGTCTCCCCAAAATTCATATGCTGAAGCCCTAATCCCCATGTGATGGTACTTAGAAGTGGGAGCTTTGGGGAGGGAATCGAGTGTAGATGAGGCCACGAATATAGAGCCCTCGTGATGTGATTGTACCCCTCCAAGGAAGAGGATACCAGATCTGCCCCTCTGCCTGCGAGGACCCCGCAAGGAGGCATTGCGTGCAAGAGGACCTCACGTCTCTAGAACCATAAGAAATGTGTGTGTTTAGAGCTAGACGTGGCAACATTTATAGAGTGGCAAACACAGCTTCTGCCCTCCTTTTGTTATGGAGAGAAATAAGGGGTCTGCTTTTCTGACCACCAAGATAAGAATGTATGGGAATCATCTCTGCTTTTCCAGGTGAGAATAGTTCTGGCCGTTGTCAAGTGGTTGAAGGTGTTTTGTAATGACCTTGTAAAGCTTCGATTTTAGAATATTCCCTGCCTTTGGGAGAATCTCCTGAGTCAGGCTTATTAAGAACCTAAGGGGCTTGAGCAGATCTGGGAGAGTTAGCCATTGGAAGACTTGCCCATTCCTAGAATTCACGTTGATCAGTAATATTGGTTCTGAAAATAGCTGAGAGCTAAAAATATCTTTCAGAGAGAGAAAAATTTATAAGCCCATCAAGAAGGGAAAACACGAGAAAAGGAAAATGCCACGTTTTTCTTGAGCTTTTTAATGGCATCAGCTAATATAAATCACGGATGAGTGTGGGAATAGGAAAAAGCAAAAGGCATGGCTGCTTGAGTCTTTTCAAAGAACAATCTCCCTGAGTCATAGTGACTGATTACTATGTGTAATGAAAGATAGGAATGTCAGTGATGATGGAGTTTCCAAGCCTGCCTAAGTGGGGGAAATGTTGGTGTTATTGATGAAGGAGAGGAATTTAGCATGCTGAGCCCAGTGTGGATGGAAGGAAAAGGACAAGCTCAGTTTGGCAAATGTTCATTTGAGGGAAGAAAACGGAACAGCCAAGCAAGAACGTTAAGCAGGAATCAAAGACAACACAGCAGGGGCTGGAGTGAGAGAACAAGGTGGAAGGTAGAGAATGGGGTGTCATTTGTATGGACATTATCCAAGAAGCAGACAGACCATTTGTAGCACAAGAAAGAACTCCACACCCAGGTTGAAATTTCAGAAATGCTCAGCATTCAGAGTTAGGGGACAGGAAGAAGAAGCAAAGGCAGTGGTGAAGGCAGAGATCAAGCAAGGAGGTAGAATGACTTATCATGGAAGTGGGTAGAGACCATGTCAAGGTTTCAAGACAGGTGATCAATATATTCTTGAGCTTCTTTTTAAGAAATATGTTGGTAAAGGAGGAGCAATAAGATGGTAGCTAGAGCTAACACCAAAATCATACTGAGATTTTCTTTCAACGTGAAGGAGAAAAACACAGGTTGGGTTGAAGTCTATGGGGAGGGAAAGTTTGAAGATGCCAGGGAGAGGAAATAAATATAACAACCGTATCTCTCAGATGGGATCTAGCTTTAGAGAAAAAAGGAGACACAGATTCCCTTGAGCTGGAAAGGACAGAGGGTTAGTAAAAATGAAGGTTGAAATATTTTTTTTTTTAAATCACAGTGTTAGCGGGGGCACCTGGGAGGCTCAGTAGTTGAAGTGCCTTAACGCTTGATTTCAGCTCAGGTCATGATCTCAGCGTCATGGGATCAAGCCCAGCATTGGGCTCCATACTGTGGGGAGTCTGCTTGAGAGTCTCTCTCTCTCCTTCTGCCCCTCCCCCCTCAAATAAATAAATAAATCCTTAAAAAATAAATAAATGGAGATGTTAGGTTAAAGAAGAAAATCTTTGGAGTTGCTCACTAAAAATGAAATGGGGAGTTATTTATCAAGTAAGAATGCAGATCTCAGAAGAATCAAGAGATTTTAAAGTAGCTGTTGGTAGACATTTGAAGTTATCATCCCCAAAATGAGGAAAGAACTTAGAGCTAAGTGGTGAATGCTGAATTTGAGTAGCAATCACAAAATATTTGTTCAGTTCCTTCTATGTGCCAGGCACATGTACTTGAAGCCAGAATTCAGGTTTACCTCTCTCATTAGCAATACTCTGGGACCAAGGCTCAGGGATACAGAGAGTCGAGGGAGAGGATTTTTTAGAGCAGAGGAGAGGACCACACTGAAGAACATGCCAAGCAGGCAGCCAGAGTACTATGCCATTCAGAAAGCACTGTTCCCGATTCTGATAGTTCTTATTTTATGCTGACTGAACTTACCACCTTCAGCATTCCTCAGAAATTACATCTGGGTATTCATAAACTTGAGTCAGTAAAAAGGAATAGTTCTCAGAAAGGGGGAAGAGAATTCTTGGAAAAATAAATACATGGATAATTTTTATGTTTTTTTAGAGATTTTATTTATTCACTCATGAAAGACAGAGTGAGAGAGAGGCAGAGACAGGGAGAAGCAGGCTCTCCTCTGAGCAGGGACCCCGATGGGGAACTCCATCTCAGGATTCCAGGATCACGACCTGAGCTGAAGGCAGAGCCACCCGGGTGCCCTAAGTGAATAAATTTTAATAGGTAGCTTTGATCTCCTCAGCAGTTTTATTATGATTTACTAGGTATGGGTTTCTTTGCATTTATCCAAAACATTCATGAATTGCAGAATGGTTAAGTAAGTTGTACATGGTGTTTACACAGTGGGATACTATGCAGCAAGGAAAATGAACCCATTGTAGTTACACACAATGTAGTATAAATTGTATACATTGTGTGTGTACACAACAGCATGGATGAAGCTCACAAACAATGTTGAGGGAAGGGCGCCTGCATGGCTTAGTCAGTTGGGCCACTGCCTTCGGCTCAGGTCATGGTCCCAGAGTCCCGGGATCGAGTCTCGCATTGGGCTCCCAGCTCTGTGGGGAGTCTGCTTCTCCCTCAGACCTTCTCCCCTCTCATGCTCTCTCTCACTTTCTCTCTCTCTCAAATAAATAAATAAAATCTTAAAAAAAAAAAGAATGTTGAGGGAAAGAAGACTTACACAAAAGAATTTATACACATTTTCTTTTTCATTTATTAGAAAGTTAAGCTGTGTTGTTAGAAGTCAGGGAAGCTTCACTTTTGACTCAGGCGAGAGAGTACCGGGGGCTGGTAATGTTCTGTATTTGATCGAGGTGGTTTCCCTCGGGTGTGTGTCCTTGTGCTAATTCATTAAGCCGTATACTTATAAGTTGTGTGCTTTCTTTGGTGTTTTACACTTAAATAAAAAGCTTTTCCTACAAAAATGCTTGTTACCAATGGGAAAGAAAAAGAAACCCATTTGAGTTTAGTTTGAAGAAAGCAAGTTGAGCATCTATTGAATATCACTGGTATGACAGTCCATCCCTTATGTTACAGACTAAGAAACCAATATCTAGATCTATTAAATACCTGATTCTGGGTCTCAGAGAGAATTAGTAAAAGAGTTAGAATTGAAGGCTGTTCTTGAATTCCAAATCAAAACCCAGAGCTTTCCACCAGCCCATCATAGTATAAACATAATATGCATAAACTCTTCTAGCTCTGGGACCAAAGACTGCTTTCATCCATTCATTCATGTGACATCTATCATGAGCCAGCCTTTGTGCTAGGCTTGGGGGTCTGGTGGCTTTCGCCCTGCAGCCCAGTGAGGACTGTAATGCAAGATATAAACAGACGCTGAGGAACACATGTAGGGAGCTGCGAGATCCTAGGTGGATCCAGGTGCCATCCTAGGGGTGTATCTGTATGCATACTAGATACTTCGAGAGGCATATGTTCGGTGGTGAGGTGGGTGAACTGGTGTAATACTTTGGAATTACAATTTTGGAACTGAAACCTTGGACCTACCACTTAACTGCTAGGCAGTACGACCAAGCTAGATGACTTCAGGTTGGTCACATAATCTCTCTGTGCTTCAGTTCTCTCAGCTGTCTAATGGGGTTCAGTTACGGGAGTTGGTATATGTAAATGCTTACGAAGGTGCTGGGCACAGACAGCGTGTACCAAGGAGGAAAGGGAGCTCAGTGGGGAAAGTCCGCCCTAGCGGATAGGAGTGTTTTATTATTGACATTGTTTGGAATTGCCAACATATGGTAGTCAGAAAAAGCAGACTCGTTTTTTGGCTTTATCATTGTTTTTAAAATCTCTATCAACCGTGCAACTCCTTATTGCTTGGATCCGAAGCAGCTCCTCCCACTATCCCACCCTCTACCGTATGTTATGGAAGGCCACAGAGGAATTCCCCAGAATGGGGTGGGGTGGAGGCTAACTTGGGGAGGAGGCCTTCCTGACAGAGGAACCCCGCTTCAAAGGCAAGCAGGTAAAGAGATGGTGTTCATTAGGACTATCAGTTAATACTCAAGCCAGGAAGAGGACAGGACTTTCCTGGGGAGAGTAGTCCCATCATTGGAAAGGAAAGAAAATCATTGTGAATCTTTGACAGGTGTCATTGAAGGCCACTCACAATTTCACATGAGATCCTTCTGCCTTCAGTTCAACATTTTCCTCACTCCTTGGCATTGTACGTGGTTGCCTTTTGAGAGTCAAGGATGGCTTGAAGATATTCGCCTTTGAGAGTGTAATTCTGCCAACAAGCTATTTCTGTGCAGTGCTTCTTATCATACCAATGTGAGAGCCTACTTTGATGATAAGAATAATCAACTGCTTTGTCTTCTAGAGGGTTCTTAATGCCAACAGTCTGCACTTCTCTCAGAGTGCAATTAAATAAAGGGAAGGACAAAGCCCAGTTAAATAATTCATAAAAGCACAACCACAGAAAGAAAAACTGAGCTTGGTTTTTTTGTCAGTCAGTTACTGGGCCACTACCAAGGTAAGGGACTCCCTTACGCTGAGACTGTCACACTGTCATAGGAGTCCACATCAGAAATATAAGACATCTTACTGAAGAGTCCCAGGAGGACTGGCTTCATCTGGGCTGCTATCACAAAATACCAAGGACTATAATAAATAAGGAATCACTTCATACGTGTTAAAATGGCTGTGATCAGTTAGAGAAGAGATAAATACTAGGGAGAATGTGGAGACAAACAAGGCCTTGTGCACTGTTGGCGAGGATGTAAATTGGTGTGGCCACTGTGGAAAACAGTAGAGACATTTCTCAAGAAATTAAAATGAGACATACTGCGTGATCTGGCAATTCCACTTCTGGGTATACATCCAACGGAAATGAAAACAGGATTTAGAAGAGATACCTGCACTCCAGGTTGTCTGCAGCATTATTCATTATAGCCAAAATAGGGAAACAGCCCAATATATGAAAATATTATGTAGCCATGAGAAAGAAGTACCTTCTGCCATTTGTGAGAATGTGGATGGACCTTGAAGGCATTATGCTAAATGAAATAAATTGGAGAGGTAAAGACAAATACTGTGTGATATCACTTCTATGTGGAAGCTAAAAAAAGCTGAACTTATAGAAACAGACACTAGAATTGTATTACCAGGGACTGGGGTGGGGGAAGAGGGGAGATGTTGGCCAAAAAAGTACAAACTTCCAGTTATATGATGAATAAGTTCTGGAATCTAAGGTACAGCATAGTGATTATAGGTAATAATACTCTATTATTTACTTGAAAGTTGCTAAAATAGTAGATCTTAAATATTCTCATGACAAAAAAGAAATGATAATTAGGTGACATGATGCAGGTGTTAGTGAACGCTATGGTGGTGATTATTTTGCAATATAGAAGCATATCAAATCAACACATCATACACCACAAACTTACACAATGCTGGATGTCAATTATATCTCAGTAAAGGTGGAAAAAGATGTAGGATTTTGATAAAATTGGTTATTATTTTGACATATTGATACGAGAAGTTGCAGAGAGCACTGTTATTCCAAATAACTGGTACAGAGCTCCCGAATCAACTGGAACTTTTCATAACATCTAGAACATCTGGAAAGGAAGCACACTCCCATTTGCATAATGTCATCTCTTTCTTTCTGAAAAGCACCCCTGTTCTCCAGGGATATTATTGGAGGTGGGATATTATTGCATATCCTATATTGGAGGTGGGCTATTACTGCAGTAGGGGCTACTATTTGAGGATATCATGAAATCTTGGCAAGCGTGAGAAGAGATTTTTGTCTTTAAAAGGTTGTGTCAAAATATCTTTTCTGGTCTGGGCTTTGACCATTGTCTTGCCATCTTCTCTGGTCCTGGCAGGCACTGTGATGCGTCCCCACCTTCCTGAGGCTTTATGAGTCCAACAGCTCTCAGTCCTTATCTTTGTTACCTCCGTCCCCAGGGAGGCCACAACAGTGTTTTGTTTTTGTGGTAGAGATTCTTAGAACACTTAATCTTTGGAACAACCTCAACGCCATGGGTATTACTAAGACCGGTTTTCACACTGAAGGAACAGACTCAGACTTTACACAACTTGGCCTGGGTCTTGCTGCCAGGAAATGATGGACTTGGGATTTAAACCTCCATCAATCAGCTACCAAAGCTTATACATGCTGTTAGGTGGCAGCATTCAGCTGTATCCCTATTTGGGGAGATTGAGTTCTCTGTTTCTAATCTGTTATTGATTAGCTTAAATTGTTGGAAAACTATTTCAGATACTGAACTAAAATCTGTTTCTTTTTATTTCTGTATAAAATTGCCCTATAAGAGCTATCCAGAATGTCCACTTTTTTTTTTTTTCCTCCTGACAGTCACTTTCAAATACTTGAACGAAACTCTCAAATATAGTTAGGGACGGATTCATAAAGAGGTGGAGCCTGAAGAAGAGCCATAGCATTTGAATTGATGGAAATGAAAGAAACAGACATTATAGGTAATCAAATGAGATAACAATAGAATGATTTGTTGAGGGCTTGTTGTGTCCAGTATTATGCTAGTCGCTGGCTATATGTTATCCCAAGTCATCCTCAGGCTGATTGTGCCGAAGGTGGATGCTATAGTGATTTTATAGATGCAAAAGTGTACTCAAGAGATGTGCAGTAATCTGGGGCACCTGGGTGGCTCAGTTAGTTAAGCGGCTGCCTTGGGCTCAGGTCATGATCCCTGGGTCCTAAGATCAAGCCCCACATCCAGCTCCTTCCTTGCTCAGCAAGGAGCCTGCTTCTCCCTCTCCCCGCTTCTCCCCTCCTGCTTGTTCTCTCTCTCTCTCTCTCTCTCTCTCTCTTTGTTTAAACATAAATCTTTAAAAAAAAAGAGATGTGTGGGAATCCACTTCACCCAGGTATTAAGTGACAGAGATTTGGAACTGGACATATGTGATTCCAAAAGATATGTTTTCCTCACTAGCCTCGGCCTGGGTCTTGGCTATGTACATTAAATTACAAAAACAGTGTAATCTGTTTATAAGTCTGAGTTCAGTGGAGTACAAGCCTGGGAAGGCATTCTTTTTTTTCAGTCACCACCTTAAATACGCTCTGCCAATTTGCTCCATTCTTGTCCTGTGTTAACATTTTAAGAGGATTCCATTGCATTCCATTTTAGGCCTTTTTAGTCAGGACAAAGCCCAGCTCATGTAAGTCTCAGATTCCGATCTCATTTCTTTCCTTTTGTCCAGCTGAGACCCAACATCCTAAGCCAGGTAACCTGCAGCGAAGAAGTACATGGTGAACTCATTTATTCTTTTCCCCTGCCTCTTTCACAGGCATTTCAGGCAGGAAGCAGAGAAATGGTGGCCAAGTGACCATTAATTGATGACATTGGAATCATCTTTGACAGTGCTGCTTCTCTAGGTAAATCTGATCAGCTACCGATGCTGTCAGTAAGGCCAGCATCCACCAACGGGCTGGATTTTGGGAAAGGAAGGACAAAGGGGAAGCAAAATTAAGGTTTGGATGACAGGAAAGATGACATTTATGGAGATGGTCAAGCTGGAAGAAAGTGAGGATAGGCATAATCCAAAGGGCGTGGTTCTACATGATGACTTAAATTGGAAAGAGAGTTTTCTCTCCCTTTATGGAACTGGTGTGTTCCATCTGTTCTAAAATGAGCCCAACTGCTCGTGTTAACTGCTATTAGAAAATCAAGGATGTATCCCCACAATGAAAAGAAGAAAATTCTCAATAGACTTAATTAAAAACTTTTGGTGAAGATGGAGTTGAATTGGTGGCCAGCTTCCTAGCCCCTGTGGGATTGTTGTCCCACTTAGTGGTTTGCTTCTCCTTGCTGTGATTTTTCAACTCCTTGGTCTCCCTTTGTCTGTCAGTCCAAATCCTACTCCCTTTGGGATAGAATGTAGTGTGGTGTCTATTATTGGAGAAATGACTGCACAATCCTAAAGCACCCCAAATTTTCTGGCTGGTTGTAGAAGATGTCACATTTGCATTCAGGTTTTTTTACATGTTTGCTGCCTACCATTTCTTACCTTTGGAACATCTCTAAAAATAACAACCTACTGAGAGCACCCATGAGGGTAACTGTGACCTGTATCCCTTTATCTTTCCATGAACAAAACTCCTCCAAGAAAATGGTCTGTCGACATGGCATCTTCTATTTCATCTGACTTTTAGTTGTCCTGAAGATTTGACATTCTCTGTGTCTGTATAACATTTATTGGTCTATTATGAGAGAGCTCTCTTTTTGAACCAGTTATAAGAAAACCCAATTTGGCAAATGGTAAGTTATGTCCCTACCTCTGCCCTGTGAGTGATTTGATGTCAGGCACCACAGGAAGTTGCGGAGGTTTGGAATGTGAGCATGAACAGAAGACACCAGGAGATCGAAGAACTTAGGAACACCTTGGGAAAGAGAAGAGGCATAAGGAGGGAGGAAAGAGCTACTGGCAAAGATGAAATTACTTTAGAAATATTTCTGCACTGGTTTCTATGCGGGAAACCTATAATACCAATCCCATTGAAAAGACTGGGTCAATAGAGTTACCTCCTGAACTCTAATTTATAGCACCAACATTTTCTCTAACTTTGTTACAGCTGAAAGCAGGAGTCATGTTGATACAAAACACTATTACAGCTCTTCTTGAAAAGAAGAAAAAGATTTTCACAAATGCTTCCCTTCTCATTTATTGTCACTACCATTTTCCCCCAGACTACTCTCATTCTCGGCCCACGTAGGAAATCAGAAGATAATCTAAAATTAAATGATGATGGCTCAGAGCTTAAAGCACTTAAAAAGAGAAGGGGGGCCACTGCATCACATCTTGACAAGGCTGGGAATGAGGGCTGGAAGATTGCCGAGGAAGCCCACAAGAGTTGTTGACCAGTGGGCCTTTGTACTTCTTGTGACCAGAGAGGACCTGTGAGACATTCTCCTTCCTCATGCCCTGGGATGGTGTTTGAGGTCAGAAAAGCTACGGGAGAGTTGAGAAAGAATGCAAAGTGGGTATACACAGAGCACTAGTGAGTTAGGAAAACCAAGCTGAACACTTGATTTACTAGTTACCATGTTGTAATATAAACCTACTCAGCATTTCTTTCTGTTCCTAAAATGACATCCTCATAGAATATGAAAACCAAATTATATATATGCACACACATTTATCTTTTACATATATATACCTATATATTTGTGTGATACAGATATATATACACACACACACACACAACCTGTGTGTTGCGCACTCCACATGCACATAATTCGTAATCAGTACAGGGGTTAACATGAAACACTTCCTTTAGTAATGATATTAACTATTTTTATTATAGGATATAAAGCCAGCTCTTCAGCTTACTTTAGCTTTAGTCCCACTTGCCCATATGTGATGATATGCAAATCACAAAAAGGGCCCTCCCGTTTAGCATCTTCCATTTTTTGTCAAGGTTCTCTGACTGTTAGAATGTTAGAAGTTAAAAAAAAAAAAAAAAGCATAGGTGTCAGAATCTGACAAATCAGAATTCAGATGTATGCTCTGCCACTCACGAGCCATAAAAACTGGGACAAGTTACCTTTCTGGGTCTCAGAGTCCACATCTGGATAATGGCATTATTTATTATTTCAACAACATGGCTGGGAAATTTAATGAGGTGAAAAGTATGTAACAGTGCTGAGCAGATTGCCTGGCATGTAAGATACACTAAATCAGGGGCTGGCAAACTTATGCCCAAGACCAGATAGTAAATATTTTAGGCTTTGCAGGCCTAACTACTCAAGTTAGTCATCATAGCATGAAAGCAGCCAGAGAGAATATGTAGAAGAATGAGTATGGCTGTGTTCCAATAAAACTTTATTTAAAAAAGACATGTGGGTCACCTGGGCCCTGTGATGCGTAGTTTGCAAATCCAAGCTCTGTTTCTTCCTCTTTTCCCAGTTTGAGATACAGGTTTTTCATGTGTGTAATGTTGGAAATAGCACCCACCAAAACCTTGGTTTATTTATCGAGCATCTGTTGTGTACAAAGGACCGAGTAAAGTGTGATGAAGAACAGAGTGAATAAAATTTGCTTTTACCCTTCAAGGGCTTTAAGAGTAACAGAAAGTGTTTAACTTATCTAAGTTTGCTCCTCCTTCTTAGCCAGGAAATGGTTTAAGAGTATTTATTTCATGGAGTTATTATGAAAATGAAATAAAACATCATCTTTAAGTGTAGATGCAGTAGCAACCATCGTGGAAAATGGTCATGGGACTGAACCTTTCTGCTACAAAGAACTAGAAAGCTGGACAAAGTGTATGAATAAACTGTTTTCTCATGTTGGGCAACAGAGAGCACAGGACTGTGATACTTGAGATCAGGAAGACACCATATTTCACTACAGCTTTCTGCCTGAGACCACCATTCAAACTTCAGCACAAGTAAGTGAAGCCCAATGGAAAACATGTTGAGCCTAATTTTCTTTTTTTCTCAAGTATGTTTCTTTTTCAGGTAGTGGTTTCACTGGGTGGAGGCAGGAGAGAATAGAGTTTGGATGCTGATGTTGCAGGAAGTTTACAGGTCAGGTTACTGAGGAACAGACAGAGACACACATAAGATGGCTTCAGAAAGCTGCATCAGGGTCCCTTGGAGGGTTTGGGTGACTAGAAAGCTGTGTCACAGGACTCATAGATCAAGATTCAGGAAGATTAGGCCAAAAATAGCTATTGGATAACGAACTGAACAAAATTGAGGAGGTTGCTTAGGAGAGGAAGATGGGGTTACAACCGTCCAACATGGAGGGGCCTCATGAACACCCTAGACATTCGATTGAGATCTCAGAAAATGTATATCTTAAGAGTAAGGTTACCCTAGCTCTAGAAGAAGGGCTACTCTAGAATCATCATTAAAAAGCTTAAAACCAAGCCTTGATAAGATAAAGCTGATCTCTCAATAAATTAAGTGCCTGCCAGAGCAAAACAAAATTAATTAGTCTTAAAATTGAGACTTATATAACAGCATTGAATCCACAATTGAGTATATATAATATGTTTGAAGACATGTGAGGGAGTAGGAAAATGTGGCACTTAACCAGGAGAAAAGTGAGTCAATAGCAACAAACTCAGAAATAACACAGAGCTTGAAATTAGCAGACTTGTTGCTCTTTTTCTTGGCCATACCCACCTCCCAGGCTCGCGTCCCTGACCCCTAGCAACCACTAATCTATTCCCTATGATTTTGTCATTGCAAGAATATAATAAGTGAAAGTATGCAATCGTCAAGTCTTTGGGGATTGGCTTTTCTCACTCAATTCACCTAATTCCTTAGAGAATCATTCAAGCTGTTGCATGTATTGACCGTTTGTTCCTTTTATTACTGAGTAGTATTCTATGATGTGGATGTGTCATTGTTTATTTCACTGTTCATCTGCTGAAGGACCTCTGGATTATCTCTCCATTTTGGCTATTACAAATAAGTCTTCTGTGAACATTTGTGTACAGGGTTTT